CCTCTGCAGGGGCCACGCAGCACACCACTTAAGAACTGTGGCTACACAGTGCTGTCAACGCAAATAAGAAAACCACAACCATGTGACCATTAGGTCACTTACGGCTCTTAGACGTGCATTTCCACACACTTAAAACAAGCATATCTGCTGTTCTGGGAATCCCTGCAGCTTTAGGAGAGGCACTAAAGCATCCTGAAATTACCCCGCAGGCTTCCCGTTCGCGGGGGGTGGGGGGGGGGTGAGGCAGTAGGCCAAGGCCCTGCCTCCCCTTGCATCAAGAATCAAGACCAGATACCACTAGGCGAGGCTTAACACTCCCTGTCTGTGACTCGCCCATTTAACAGAAACCATATCATACATTTGCCGTAAACACACTGCTCTGACTACACAGCACAGACCCCTGGGTGATGACAGCAGAGCTGGCAGAGACACTGATGCCCACCGTCTGTTTGCAGCTCAGCCTCTCACTCGCCCTGCAAATGCCAATGGCACGGGGCTAGGCGTTGAGGCCCCACACACTCTCCCCCAGCCACAAAAAGGAACACGGCCAAGCCTAGGAAATGAGCCGTGAGCCCCCCGCTGAGTCACTCCCCACCAGACTTCAGAACCAGGTGGATGGACTCAGGGCCTCCTGTTAGCCCACAGCCTGACAAGTCTGCTGAGTCTAAAGGGAGCACTCTGGGAGGGGCGGCCGGACCTGGCAGCAGAGAGGGAGGGGCCCCAGTGCCTTCTGAATTCGGGGACACAGTGGGCTGTGCTGGACCAGCCACGCCTGCTCTGACTCAGCACTGCCAACCATCCTCCCCAGGACTTCCAGAGCCCCAGTCCCTGCCAGGCACCCGCCAGGAGAGGGAGTTGCCCCTGGCATAGCCTCTGCGGCCAGGCTTTCTGGAACCCTGGCTTTCCAGTAGCTCACCTCGGAGAGAGACGGGCTACTGCAAGGGCAGCTGCAGCTGGCCACTCAGAGTTCGTCAGCTGGACATACATCAGTTAGCAGCCGGGCTAGAAGTGAACACTAAAATCCCAACCCCAGAACTGGGTCTGCCTGGCACGGGGCTCCAACAGAGCTCTGTAAGGACAGCATGGCTGAGTGTGGCCATCACTCAGCATGTGGTGGTCCCCATTCATCAGACAGCATCACCCACCCGCCCATCAACGCTTCCTCAAAGCTGGGAAACACGAAGTCATCCTGTGCCATTATTCATATCTCTGTGACAATGGCAAAGAAATCCCAGCCGTCCAGTGGTCCCCTTCCCTCAAGCCAGGACTTCACCCCTCTGCACAGTCACCAGGGATCAAGAAGAAAGTGATAACCCAGCAGGAAACACAAATGTTGATATTTTTGTTTCAAATGAAGATACCAACTGTTCTCACCCTTTAGAGTTAACTTCTTCTTGGAAAGGCTTTCCTGGAACAAAAGCAGAAAAAGTATCTCAGCAACATTACAAGGAAGGGCAGGCTGATAGGCTTCCCACGCACAGCCATCTCCAGGCACCATTCAGCCCCATAAGACACAAATCCTGGCCGCTTTACATGAAGGAATATCAACGTGGTGTTTAAAGGACTGCCTTCAAGAAAATAAAGGGAAGTGTGAGAGTTTGCAAATGTCATGTTAATGCTAAACTATTGTATTATACATCAGACTCATTCTTTTACTCAACTTAGGTAGTTATTAACGATTCAGATATGAAAATTATCGTGTCAGATAAGAATTTTTTAAAGCATTTCCAAATGCTTCTTAGAGTTACAAGAACAATGAATATTTTTGGTTTCAGAATATTTTCCACTGCACTGTAATGAACAAGACGTTCAGTGTTCAGTTTTCGACCAAAGCAGGGATTAAATCAAGAATGCAGTCTGAATTGTATATCTATCTAAATACAAGAGTGAAAAAAACCCTAACTGCAGGCGACCATCTCCTCCAGGCATCCTCTCAGAGCTCACACACTTCAGCTCTTCCAGGCCCGGAACCCAACCAGGACTTGGGTCAAAATATGTTCAATTAGCCAGGATGAGGAAGCATAAAATTCAATTCATCATCCTGAACAAAAATTGGGGCTTTGGTTTGAAAGGTGAAAAGCTACTGGGGTGACCTAACATACCCCAACCCTTCAAACAATCAAGATATTTAACTCTAAAGACAGATCTCAAACAAGGGACTGCCCAGCGTCAGACTGACCGCAGGGCACTGCTCCCAGAAAATGCCACACCGGGCACAAAGACCTCAGATGCAGATCGTCTCAGGTCCAGGGGTCAGGGACAAGTATCAGACGACACGACGAGAGATGACAGTGAAGAAAAGGAGAGAACCAGATGGAACACTGTCTCCTCTGGTCTCCTATAGCGCACAGCTTTGGGCAGAAGCACTTGGGGTTGGTGAATTCACCAACTGCCCACCTTGCCTAGGTCAGCCCCTGGAGCTTGACTGGCAGGGCGGCAGCCTGCTGAAGAGAGAAATGGAGGTTCTGGGGCACAACCTCAAGAACAGTGTCATTTTCCACTTTTAAAGACTTTCCCTAAACTGAAACAGGCATGGTCTCTGAAGTTACCGAACTAGCGATGAAACAGTCCACAATTCCTTTTCGTTCCCTCCCAACAACATAACATAGTTAGGCGATCCTGGAAACAAGGCGTCTTCCACAGCCACGCCCGGACAAAGGCAGCCGAGCCCCAGGACCCCGACAAAGTGTTTTCTGAGATTCCACAATGTTACTTGACCTGTGATACATTTCCCTTTGCCCTCACCATTTGCCATTGACAAAATAATGCTGCTGCACCCCCTCCCCTCCCCCCGCCCCCACCTTTTGACAAGTGAACTTAGTTTTTCCTTAACTGGTGACAAAAGTTACACAAACAGAAAGCTGCTCTCCTGCAGAGGCTGCGTGCCACCTCCCTCTGGCAACCTACAGAGCCAGCAGGCAGGGCTGAGCCACCTCGGGGGACTGAGCCAGAAGAGGGACAGAGGGCCAGGCAGAAGGCAGCCAAGGGCAGTGAGGCCCCACACCACAAGGCACACCAGGAAGCGCCAGTGTCGCCGCCGGGAGCCACCACCTCCAATAAGTAGCTGTGACACGACAGGAAGACGGAGTGCGGCTGCTCCAGGCACGAAAGCACCCGAGAAAGAACCCGAGTCCCCTCTGGGCGAGGCCAAGGCCGGCAAGGCGCAGCCCCAGGCATCCTGAGCCCTCAACCCAGCGCTCACGGGAGGATTCTCCCACCACAAAGGCCACAAGCCCTCCAGGTCGCTGAGCTCTCTCCAGGACCCCGGGTGCCCTGCCCGTCTTCCAAACGGACCTGCTGCCTCCCCGCACCAGGAGGGCACGGAGTTAAGGAAACCCCGCTCCCAGAGAGACCACCCGTGGTGGACGAGGGGAGCTGCGAAGCCGGGTCCTGAAAAGTCCGCCTCTGGGGAGAGGGCTGGGGGAAGGTGCGGGTTCCCTGGGTCCGTCAGCAACACCGCGGCCTCGGACGTCTGAGGCGCCCTTTGGTGGTGCGGTGATCCTACCCGAGCCGCAACTCCCCATCCAAGATCTGGGCGCCCGCCCCCCTCCCCCTGTGCTGGCCCGGGACGCCGAGGGTGCGCCCAGGACCCTGAGCCCGGTTCCGGGGTATCGTCTCCCCTGGCCCGCTCCGGCCGCAGCTGACACGAGCCCGGGCAGCGGGGACGCGGCGCCCGCAGTGCGACTTGCGCAGCCGCCGAGACGAGGGGCGCGCCACCCAGACCCCGACCCCGCGCCGAGGGGGTGCGGTGTGCCGCCCCGGGGGTTGGGGGTGCGCACTTTCCGCCGCTCACCCCTCACCGGCAGGGCACCTGTCCTGCTGCGGGAGAGCACGGTCGTGAGCACGGGACAAGGATGGGGGCGCCCCTGGCGGATCGGTCCTGGTTCGGGAAGGCAGGGCCCAGAAAGCGGACGGGGATGCCCTCTGGACACAGGGGCCCGGGGAGAGGGAAACGGAGTTCCCTCCAGAAGCTGGGGGACGTGGGGAGGAGTCCGCTCCCGAGTGCAGAGGGAGGTCGGGAGGGACGTTCCCGGCCCAGGATAACGGGGGCGGGGGAGGCGGAGGGGACTGAAAGTCACATCAGCGTCGCTGGGAGGATGGAAAGGTCCTTGCGGGCCCAGGAGAAGTAAGGGTCCGCTTCGGGCTGCGGGGAGCGGCCGCGAGGTGCGAGCAGGGCCGGGATGGGGAAGGAGAGGGGCCACCCTGGCCGCGGGCGGAGGTGGGGGAGGCGGGGGACGCGCAGCCAAGCCGGCCCGTAAGCGCGCAAGGGCTCGTCGTGGACCCAGCTGGGGCTCCCCTCCCGGACACGCCGTCCGCGCTTGGCCGGAACGGGGACCGGCCGCAGGGCGAGGGCGACGGCCAGCGCAGCGGCGGGATGCGGGAGGGGTCTGTCAC